TTAATCCCCAACTCATAATAGAGCACACTGCTATAATGCCTGTAATCCAGTCTTTAGATGATGGAGACATGATTTACTGGCTTGATTAGAAAAGCATGTAAATTTTCAGTAGCAGAGATTACTAACCACTGCTCCTCAACACTATTGTAATTTGAAATGCCACTTAAGACTACAAATTAGTTTGTATCTTACAGCTGATTCCTTCAAGTTACCATGTGTTACCATTCCGGTAACACACATGGCAACACACTAAGTCTTCTCCGAGATTCAGTAATAGTCCCAATACAGGATGAAAATAACCAAATGACACTCAAGAAAACAAAGCAAAGTATTGAAAATCTCCCAGAAGTCCAAACAAATTTGAAGTATACCCCATCATACAATGGCTGGCAAACTGAACTCTTTAAATACACATACATGACAAAAAGTAAAGAAAATACTGGAATTCTGCAAGGGACTCCAAGGAGTGTGTAAACCACAAACCCCTAGTTCGGGGCATACAAAACATATTCAGTCATGCAATTATGGCAGCTACCTTTCGTAGGACCAAATATTAATTAAAATTCCATTAGAAGCAATATTACAAATAGTGCTAAGGATAAAAGGGCCTTGTTGGCCAATTCCTGTTCCAGTCTTTAAAAAAACCACACCACTAGATTTTAGGCAAGTAATCATACCAGAGGATCAGTTATCAATTATACAATTTTCCAAATATAAGATCAGTTCCTAGCACATATATTGTGTTATAAATTTGAGGCCATAAGAAAACACAAAAGTGGTAACTTAGCCAGTAGATTTAAACTCAGATGTTAGTCCCAAATAAACTTGGTAAATGCTGACTTATCAAATCAGTCTGATAGGGTACATTGATTAAATGGGCTGAAATTGCCAACTACATTCAAACCATCAAGTCTTAGAGCAAATCTTGCTATAACCTGTTTGTGATGGAGGTGCTAATGAAAAGTTTATTAAGAGCGGTGCTATTCAAATTGTGGTCCAAAAACTGGTGTTGTTCTGTGGATCAATTTACTGGTGATACACAGTACATTTCTCAGAAATAAATAGTTGTCAATGGGCACAAATATTGTGCCAGTCCCTACCACATTGAGGGAAAGACTCTAATTTTTCCACAACAACTCCACTTTTCCCTAGACAGCATTGGCCCTAGAATCACTAGGAAGGAAAAGACTTTAGAGCTATAGGAATTAAATTACTGGAAAGTGCTTTCCAAAGCAAGAAAGGCCACTGAAAATTCAACAAAATAAAAATTTTCTAACACTAGAAAGCACGGAAAAGAAAGACAAGGAAAGTTGGGTCAAAGCTGCCTTAAACAAATCCAGATATACCAGACTCTCTCAAAGACAGTGTACTGCTTAATTCTAAACACTGATTGAGGTCTTAATTTTTTTAAAAGGAAGGAAAATGGGACCAAAAAATGAATCATAGTTTGTCAAGTGATTTTTCCTAAGTGAGATTCCACTGTTCTCCATGAATCACAAATGTTCTAGCCATTTTAATAAAGTACTCAATTTTCTATAAAAGTATATTTATGATCAGTGATTATGTCAAAGATAGAATGTAATCCTCACCAATATATTAAAAATAAGTCACCAAGCTGGTCTACAAGAACCATAAATCATATGAAAAGCAAGTTTCCTGTTTCTCAATGTTACACTTTCTACACATCACTCATCAGTACTAAATCACTATGAAAGCTATTACTGGTTCTGAAGGGGGGATAACCAGTATGGTAGAGTGGTTTGAATATATGATTGCAAGTTGAGACCAGGGTTCAAATCTCTGACTGAAAAAAGTGTAGGTGCATGAGTGTCCAGTTTTCTCAAGACATCAAGTGACTGGTAAAGCAAATCATGATAGATTTTCCTGCTGAAATTAAATCATAAGTTGGTCACAGGATTAGGCAAGGAAAAATATATCATTATGCTTGCAAGACAACAGAATCATACATAAAATCACCCAAATTTCTTTAGTTTCAATTTCAGCAATGTTCCATTGTACATTTACTTTTCCTACGAAAAGAAGTTAGAGCCATCATTTTCTTTGCCTAGTAATGTTTAGTTGGCCAAAAATATTCAGACTTGTTCCATATGTATTTTTTTGGCTGAAACATTGGCTGACTACTCTGACATACATCAGTATGCAGATCAGTACTATTTCATGTGTTTATTTGCCATAAAATGTTAAATTTGCAAGATGAAATCCACATTTCATTGCAAGCTGTAAAATTATAGGATCACACAAAACTTTAGATCCTTGTGTTTTTAAAAATCTACTGCAATATTTATAAATAGACTCTCTACCGCAATAGCGATAAATATTCCCCAAAAGATTAAAATTAGGACCAAGCAATAGGGCAAAGGCATAATGACCTAATCATAAACAGGGGAGGGAACTTAAAGGTATGGTTTTTAATAGGAAAATGCATGAGTAAAAATCGACATACACCTACCACTTTTCACCCTACAGCCCCCTCCTCAAGAGCCACGAGCAATAGAAAATATTACTATTGATTGTTAAAGTAGTATTGGTTGTTAAAAATGACCCTACAAACCCATCGTTTTAATGTGGTTCAACATAGTATAGTTCCAAATTACAGATATGGTCACTTCTAGCCCACCATTTGTGCTTTGTCGTTAACTGCCCACTTGAATTTCATTCTCAAATAAACCATCATTTTAGGTTTCTCTAACATATCTATTCCACATGTTCTCTAACATGTATCTACTCCAGTTACCTATATGCAAGATAGTTGATGTTGTATTTCTGCTTACAATCACAGTGTGACTACTGAAGAAAATTAGTTTCATAACACCAGTCACTACAGGTTAAAGCAGCAATAGTTAATTTCTTCATCTAGAAAACTTTTTCAAGTGCAAGTCTGAAGTTTTGAACCTTTGATGGATAAGATCACAAGGTTGCCATCTTACAACAATGAGAGCTTCAGATAGATGTGTAACATATGTACCCATACAGCATGTGCTCGAACTGGGGCAAGAGGTTGAAAAAGAGCAATCTGAAAGAGTCAGAATTCAATAATAATGTTTTACCTGTCCAAAGCACACACAGAAGTATAAAACAATAGAAACACCAGTTTCATGAAATGCAGGCCTATATATTTTGTTAGTCCTGACTAGAATAGATTTACTGACCCAATGGTATTTATCACTAAATTAATTCACAGGTGACTCACCATTCAAGAATTAATTCCATGGGTCTACATGAGTTGGGATTAACCAACAGCATGACAGTCACAATTAATGTCAAAAACACATTAACAAATAGTTTAATATCATTACATGTTTTGCAAAGTATCAGATGTGCAAATATAACACAATCATAGCAGATGTTAACTACATCTCAACTAAAATTTGGAAAGTGAATCCAAGATTAAATGACATTTAATTTGACCTATGAGCCTGACGGAGCTTTTAGGATCCTCCAGGGAGACATATCATCTGGTAGAAACCCAGGGTTTTTGGTGGATGTTTCCAGGTTCTGGAACTTGCTTCCTGAGAGACTAGAGTCCTTAGACTGATGCATTCCTTGCTATCTTGCATAGGCACATGAAGACATTTTGTCTGTTTTGGAGAGTCTTTGAAGAACACAAGTCACTACAGGCCATAAGGAAGTGGTCTTTAATTCGCTGTATTGTCTATCTGCTCAGTGTTAATGGACATGCTTACAATTTTTTTAATTCTGCTTATAATTCAATTATATTTTAATCTCTATATGATGTGTTCTCTTTACTTGTATATGCTTTAAGTAGTGCAAACTACATTGAGTCCCAGGATTGGGAAAATACAGTATTAAATTTCAGCCTGCAAACTGTATAGCCCTAGTTTAATGTGTGACATCCTGCACAGTGTAGCGGTTTGACACCTCAGCGTTGTTACACCTCTTAAAACCAAGGTTTGAATCCCCATCTAGCCATCTAACCCTAACCCAAAAATCCCATGGACAAGTCACACCCTCTCAGCCTCAGAAGAAGGCAATGGCAACCCTTCTTTGAATATATTTTGCCAAGAAAACCCCATGACAGGATTGCCATACTTTGGAAATGACTCGAAGACACACAACAATGTTTAATGTGTACTGAAGTATTACAAAGCTCAAACAAAATGAAAATCAATATTAACTCAACAACAACAACAACACTTTATTTATATACCGCTCTATCTCCCCAAGAGGACTCAGAGCGGTTTCCAAGTAACATAATCAATACATACAAAGAAAACAACAAAAACATAAAATTAACAAGACAATATAAGCATTAAAAACCACAATAGCAAAACTCCTGTGCTCATTCCCTCTCTTCTCCCTCTCTCCAACACACACAATGTACAAAAAAAAAATATCAGAGCTGCAAAGTCAGAGCTACACTACGCAAGATCCAGGAATTGTCAATGAACAGTGTCATGCAGACATGGTTTACCAGCTGAGAGACAACAGTATAACTGGATTACAGACTATACACAATTAATGATTCACTGTCAACCTACAAAGACAGCAAAACACTCAATCAAGAATCATTGCAACAGAACATTACAAATGAGAGGATAGCAAACCCTCTCATCAACTAGATATCACAAAAAAACAACACCCAGCATGTTCAACAGCAAATGTAATTCTTTCGCAATGCCAACAGTTAGGCTGAAAGGTACCCGTAAACACACTGGATAACATGAGCTCATGTAAGACATGTGCAAACAGCCACTCGAGACTACATTAAAAAGCAACTCTATTTAATGTGATTTCAATCCTTATTTGGCAAAAATGCTATACTGTTTTTGATCACAAAGCAGAAAATACTGTGACACTCAGCATAGTAAATGGCCTGTTTCCCCGTTTCCTGGGCAATCGTGTTTAGGATTTCTTGCACAATTTCCTGCAAGAGTTAAGTCAAATCTCACTGGACTCAAAGGGAGGAGTCCGGGAAGCAAAAAGAAAACAGATGAAGTAGAAGGTGCCCAGAGTCTTACCTCAACACCTGGCCTCTGTCTCCTTTGTACTGGCATTCAAAGGGGGGTTCTTTGAACTAACTAATCCTCCATCTGCGGGGCACAGAGGAAGCCGATAGCTAGCAAAGCAAGGGGGAGGAAGAGAAGGAGACTGTGAGGAAACCTACTGAGATAATACTAAGCAGGAATTTTACTACAGTTTCAGCTAAAAAGACTGTTCCCCAGTCAGATGAAAAGCAGAACCTTTGCTCAAAGGGCTACTAATAAGGAAGGCCAATACAGATGGCTCCCCATATCCACAGATTCTGCACCAATGGATTCAACTAAACCAGTTTGAAAAAATGCATATTAAAAAAAAACAAGCACACAAAAAGCAAGCCCCAATCTTGCCATTTTACGTATACAATGTCTTTACCATGCCACTGTATATAATGGAACTTGAACATCAACCACAAAAGGGTCCTGGAAACAAAACTGAGTGAATACCAAAAAGAGCCCATTGTATATAGTTCAAGAATATACTCTGTAGTTACTATCACAAAAAGTGTTCCCTGAACAAGTCACAGTCCCTCAGTCTCAGACTGTTCAAAGCTACTTAACAGCCTAACCCAGGGGTCCTCAAACTAAGGCCCGGGGGCCGGATGCGGCCCTCCAAGGTCATTTACCCGGCCCTCACTCAGGGTCAACCTAAATCTGATACTACTTGACAGCACACAATAACAACAATCCTATCACATCAGCCAAAAGCAGGCCGACAATTCCCATTGAAATACTAATACGTTTATATTTGTTAAAATTGTCTTCATTTTAATTATTGTATTGTTTTTAAGTGTCTTTTGCACTACAAATAAGATATGTGCAGTGTGCATAGGAATTCATTCATGTTTTCTTCGAATTATAATCCGGCCCTCCGACAGTTTGAGGGACTGTGACCTGGCCCTCTGTTTAAAAAGTTTGAGGACCCCTGGCCTAACCCATGTACACCTGGTCTAATCAAAAGCCAGCCCCACGGACTTCAACAATGCTCATTTTCAGTCAAGTCAGTTTAGAATAAAACCCTAATTCAAATCAATTCTGGGAATCATAGTTTGGTGAATCCCCAGCACATCTGATGAATAATGAAAGCAAGAAGAAAATGCACAGTAGGGCCTTCCCAGCGCCACATGTCTTCCCATCTGCAACATGTAGGTGAACTCTGTTCAGCAAACCTGGGCAGGTGAAGACATGCATGGGGAGGAGATTAAAGCTACTTGGAGGAGGAAACAGAAGATTAAGCCCTGCCTGCCTCTGTTGCTTTCTCACATCATTATTCCATATCCCTCTTTTTWWWAAAAAAAAAAAAAAAAGGCCACCTTCTAGTTCCTAACACTTCTGCCGCCTGGAAAAAGCCTAGGCTACCCGAGAGAAAGAGGCAACCTTGAAAATGGAGGGAAGCTGGAGGAGAAAACCACACACATACAGCGTGTCCCGCAAAATGTATCAACTTTTTAACATGCTATGTAAATACATTTATATTGAAAACAATAATAGCAATGTAAACAGGGTTCCCAGTTCCAACTAAAATTGCAATTTTATATTAGATGTTCGAATTGTCAACCCTGCACTGCAGTGCACACCTCTTGCACTGTCGTAGCAGAGTTGCAAACCTCATTTAAAAGCTGCCCTGTCATTTTGCCACATTTCTCTACTATTGTAATCTTTATCCCTGCTAAAGGTATATACATCTGGGGGGAGGACTGCAAAAAAAAAAAAAAACACCCCACAGAATTATAAACTGTTAACAATATATACACAGGGAGGACATCCTGCATTTATTTACTGAATATTTACCATCACCATATCTTCAATTTGTCTAAAAATGATAATAATTCCGGAATTATAAGACTTTAAGGGTGTACACATTGGGGGAGTACCCTGTATTTACGTACTAAGTAACTAGCTCCAGCCCCTCACTTCCACTTGGCTTGAAAAATTATAATTATTCCAAAATTGTAAGGCATTACAGGTGTCTGCGTTGTTGGAAGTCACACCCTGTATTTATTTACATAGTAACCAGACTTGTACCATCTTTCCAATTTGGCTGAAAAAATAATTGCAGAATGTTAAACCATTAAGAGCATATACATCTTTGGGGTGGGTGTTACAAAAATAGTAATAATTCCAGAATCATTAACTGTTATGTATGTATACATTGGGGGGGGGGGGGCTGTATTTTTTTACTATGTAAACTGCCTCATAGTTCTCTTTAGCCTGTCTTCAAAAACAACACTATATAACAAAAATTAAAAAAAAATCTCTTCCTGGTTTGAAAGTGTTGTTTCCAGTTTCATTGTGCGGTACTTACTTTTAAATAAGTTGTTCTATTCCAGAAACTTTGTTATTGTGGCTCATACAAACTATGTTGAACTGGCTAAGACTCTTATGAGATATTCACTGGAAGAGATGGCTAAATGTGCTGCAGGATGTCCAGCAATAACAAAGTTTCTGCAGGTTTGTTGTGAGCTTTCCAGGCTTAGGAAACAACCATCCCACTTTCTGTGCCTTCAGCTTGTTTTGAAAAGAAAACAATTCTAGAATAATAAAACTGTTAAAGGTGCATGCATTTTTTGAGGAGAGAAAAAAAGATCACCAAATAATATATATAACTTCAGAATCATAAACTATTAAAAGTGTATGCATTTTTAGAGAGAGAGAAATATTGCCAAAGTATGTGTGTGTGTGTGTGTATAGTTCTAGATTCATAAACCGTTAAAGGTGAATGCATTATTTTGGAGAGTGTGTGTGTGTGTGTATATGTATATGTATGTATGTATGTGTGTGTGTGTGTGTGTGTATATATATATATATATATATATATATATATATATATATCTCCAGAATCATAAACTGTTGAGAGTGAATACATGGAGAGGATAACTAACTTTACTTGGGGAGCAAACAGCCCCACTCCTGCATTCACAACTCGAAAACTGTTAGAGGTTTATGCAATTATTTGGAGAAAAAAATACTGCCAAAGAAAATACATATATAATAATTCCAGAATCATAAACTGTTGAATACATGGGGAGGAGGATAACTCACTTCTCACTTCACTTAGGAAACAACCTGCCCTCCTCCTGTGTCTTCAACTCATAAACAGTAAAAGATGTAGGCAATTTTTTGGAGAGAAAGAGAAACAATATTGCCAAAGAATATATATATAATAATTCCAGAATCATAAACTATTAAAGGTGTATGTATGCATTACTTTTGGAGAGAGAGAAATATACAGCCAAAGAAAATATATATAATAATTTCAGAATCATAAACTGTTGAGAGTGTATACATAGTGAGTAAGATAACTAACTTTACTTGGGGAGCAAACAGCCCTCCTCCTGCATTCTCAACTCATAAACTGGTAAAGGTGTATGCAGTTACTTGGAGAGAGAAAAAAATATTGCCAAAGAATATATATATAATAATTCCAGAATTATAAACTATTAAAGGTGTTTGCATTATTTTTGGAGAGAAAAAATATTGCCAAAGAAAATATATATAATAATTCTAGAACCATAAACTGTGAATGGTGAATGTGTTTTTTTTTTGAGAGAGAGAAAAAATATCACCAAAGAAAATATTTATAATAATTCCAGAATCGAAAACTGTTAAAAGTGTATGCATTTATTTGGAGAGAGAAAAAAATATCCCAAATAAAAAAAATATATATAATGTATTGTCGAAGGCTTTCATGGCCGGAATCACTAGGTTGCTGTTAGTGTTTTGGGCTATATGGCCATGTTCCAGAAGCATTCTCTCCTGATGTTTTACCCACATCTATGGCAAGTATTCTCAGAGGATGAGAGGTCTGTTGCAAACTAGGCAAGTGAGGTTTATATATCTGTCAAATAATGTCCAGGGTGGGAGAATCATAAACTATTAAAGGTGCATGCATTTTCTGGAGAGAGAGAAAAATATTGCCAAAGAATATATATTCTAGAATCATAAACTGTTAAAGGTGTATGCAGTGTTTTTTGGAGAAAGAGAAATGTGGCAATATATAACCATATAAATAAAAATGTAATGTTCATTTGTGGGATTAACATAACTCAAAAACCGCCAGACGAATTGCCGCCAAATATAGACACAAGACACCTACTAACCCAAGGAGTGACCATCACTCATAAAAATTGATTTTGTCATTTGGGAGTTTTAGTCGCTGGGATTTATAGTTAATCTACAATTAAAGAGCATTCTGAACTCTACCAATGATGGAATTTAAGCAAACATGGCACACAGGACTCCCATGATCAACAGAAAACACTAGATGGGTTTGGTGGGCATTGACCTTCAGTTTGGGAGTTGTAGTTCACCTCCATCCACAGAGCACTATGGACTCAAACAATGATGGATCTGGACCAAACTTGGCACAAGTACTCCATATACCCAAATATGAACACAGGTGGCATTTGGGGAAAATATACCTTGACATTTGGGAATTGTAGTTACTGGGATTTATAGTTCACCTACAATCAAAGAGCATGCTAAACCCCTCGAACAACAGAATTGGGCTAAACTTCCCACACAGAACCCCCATGTTCAGCTGAAAATACTTAAGGCCAACTCCCTTCAACAGGGCAAGAAAATATCATCAAAGCCCTCTTGACAAAGAGCCATCCAGCCATAGATATAGATAGATATATATAATTCACACACAGAGAGACATAGTATCATAGATTTGAAAGGGACCCCTAAAGAAGGACAATGATATGTTGCATGTTCCAGAGTAGGCAAACCAGACAATCTCTGGATCAACACTGACAAAGAAACAACAAGAAATACTGTTTACCCACAAGCATAAAAGAAATTACATATAATATTAGAAAAGAGTCCTTTGTCTCACCCTGGTCATTCCACAGATATATAAACCCCTTTTACCTAGTTCTAACAGACCTCACTACCTCTGAGGATGCTTGCCATAGATGCAGGCGAAACGTCAGGAGAGAATGCCTCTAGACCATGGCCATACAGCCTGAAAAAACCTACAACAACCCAATGTATGTTCTTCACACAAAAAAATGATTTTGTCATTTGGGAGTTGTAGTTGCTGGGATTTATAGTTCACCTACAATCAAAGAGCATTCTGAACCCCACCAACGATGGAATTGAACCAAACTTGACACACAGTTCTCCTATGACCAACAGAAAATACTGGAAGGCTTTGGTGGGCAGTGTCATTTGGTTTTGGAGTTGTAGTTCATCTACATCCAGAGAGCACTGTGGACTCAAACACTGATGGATCTGGACCGAACTCTACATGGATACTCAATATGCCCAAATGTGAACGCTGGTGAAGTTTGGGGAAAAGAGAATCTTGACATTAGGGAGTTGTAGTTGCTGGGATTTGTAGTTCACCTACAATCACAGAGCAATCACAGAGCAACCCCCATGACCACCAGAGTGGGCCACAACAATGCGTGGCAGGGGACGGTTAGTCTATCTATATAAATAAAATGTAATGTTCGTTTGTGGGATTAACATAACTCAAAAACCACTGGACGAATTGACACCAAATGTGGACACAAGACACCTATCAGGCCAACAAGTGACCATCACTCATAAAAACACCGAAAAACACAGTGGAAGAGACTTTAAAAGCAAATAAATAAATAAAATACATTACAACGCATGCGCAAAACCACAAATATACATATATACACACATATATACACACACAAAACACATATACACAGACTGGGCCATAGCAACGCGTGGCAGGGCACTTCTAGTATCCATATCAATAAAAATGTAATGTTAGTTTGTGGGATTTTGTTGTTGTTCATTCGTTCAGTCGTCTCCGACTCTTCGTGACCTCATGGACCAGCCCACGCCAGAGCTCCCTGTCGGCCGTTACCACCCCCAGCTCCCTCAAGGTCAGTCCAGTCACTTCAAGGATGCCATCCATCCATCTTGCCCTTGTTCGGCCCCTCTTCCTTTCTCCTTCCACTTTCCCCAGCATAATTGTCTTCTCTAGGCTTTCCTGTCTCCTCATGATGTGGCCAAAGTACTTCAACTTTGTCTCTAGTATCCTTCCCTCCAGTGAGCAGTCGGGCTTTATTTCCTGGAGGATGGACTGGTTGGATCTTCTCGCAGTCCAAGGCACTCTCAGAACTTTCCTCCAACACCACAGCTCAAAAGCATCTATCTTCCTTCGCTCGCCTTCCCTAAGGTCCAGCTCTCACATCCGTAGGTTACTACAGGGAATACCATGGCTTTGACTAGGCGGATCTTTGTTGCCAGTCTGATGTCTCTACTCTTTACTATTTTATCGAGATTGGACATTGCTCTCCTCCCCAGAAGTAAGCGTCTTCTGATTTCCTGGCCACAGTCTGCATCTGCAGTAATCTTTGCACCTAGAAATACAAAGTCTGTCACGGCCTCCACGGTTTCTCCCTCTATTTTCCAGTTGTCAATAATTCTTGTTGCCATAATCTTGGTTTTTTTGACGTTAACTCAAAAACCACTGGACGAATTGACACCAAATTTGGACACAATACACCTGTCAGGCCAACGAGTGACCCTCACTCATAAAAACACCGAAAAACACAGCAGAAGGGACATAAAGAGCCAAATAAATAAATAAATAATACATTACAACTCATGCGCAAAATATATGCACAAATATATACTCACACAAAACACTTATAGAGAGGGTGGGCCACAGCAACATGTGGCAGGGGGCAGCTAGTGTACAATACTTCCATACTCACACTCTCCTGAGGGTGTCTACACGGGGGAAGTCAGTCACCTTACGCTGTGTTTGTTTCCTTGCCTCCCTCTCTTTGGGGCGCCTGTCAGGACTTACCTGAAGCGGCGGCAGCAGCACTAGGAAAAGCAGGGAGGCTCCTTCCTTCTTTCCTTCCTTCTTTCTTTCCTTCCTTCCTCCTTCTCCTCTTCAGGCCCAGGGCCGCCCCTCCTCAGCAGCACCCGGAGCCGTCTTCGTTGGGCGCCTGAGGGGAGGAAGAGGCCACCATGTTGCAGGCTGCGAGGGAGGAGGAGGAGAAGGAGGAGGAAGAAGGATGCCCGCTAGGGGTCGCTCCGCTGAGGGGGGAAAAACGTGCAATGCGATTGGCCTTTTGCTTGAAGCCTCCAACTCCCAGAAGCCCTTGCCAGGTTGTTCAATGGGTAGGAATTCTGGGAGTTGTAGGCTATATAGACGCCAATGCTTCCTAGAAATTGTCGTGCAGGGACGCTTGGGCCCTCCAGGGGTTTTGGACTTCAACTCCCACAATTCCTAACAGCCTGTCGGCTGTTAGGAATTGTGGGAGTTGAAGTCCAAAACCCCTGGAGGGCCCAAGCTGACCTCACTGTCTTCCGCCTTCTCTGGATCCCATCACAGCGGCTAAAGTGGTGTCGAAGCGCATTCATCCCACAATGTGGATGTTTTAACTCTGAGGAAGCCCAACCCTGAGGCGAATGGCGAAGCGGGGCGGGGTCTCTCTCCCGGGATTCAGCCTCCCCTTGGCCTTCTGATGCAGGCGCCATTTTAGAAGGAAAGGCTTGGCCCCTGTTTGTGTTTCCAGCCTGGCAAGCAAGGGCGGCCTTGTCGGCCCTGGAGTTGAATAAAAGCCCACAGTATGTGCTGTGAACAGGATTATATGGCAGTGTGGACTCAGATAACCCAGTTCACAGCAGATCTTGTGGGATTTTCTGCCTTGATATTCTGGGTTATACAGCTGTGTGGAAGGGTTATCTGCTTTGAACTGGGTTATATGGCAGTGTGGACTCAGATAACCCAGCTCAAAGCAGTTTATGTGGATTTTCTGGCTTGATATTCTGGGTTTTACAGCTGTGTGGAAGGGTTATTTGCTTTGAACTGGAATATATGGCAGTGTGAACTCAAAATATCCCAGCTCAAAGCAGATCTTGTGGGATCTTCTGCCTTGATATTCTGGGTTATATGGCTGTGTGGAAGGGTTATCTGCTTTGAACTGGAATATATGGCAGTGTGGACTCAGATAACCCATTTTATTTTACAGACAATGAAATCTCTTAAGCAATCAAATGGTGGATGTGATAGACTCAGGACAACAACATTTTCGAAATGAGAGTTTGGTGACTAAAACATCATTTCACAAGAAATGAACCTTTTGCTTAAGCAATTAATCAATGGGTGTGTTAAACTCAGGAAGACAGCATTTTAGAAAGGGCAGTTTGGTGATTACAAAAGAAAGGCATTTTTGCTCCTACTATCAAAACAACCAAAGACATGCCTTAAAAGCAATCGGTTCGGACCATTCAGCGAGCCTCAGATTGTGAATATAACACTAGGTAAAGGTTTTCCCCTGACATTAAATCCAGTCATATCCGATTTGGGGTTGGTGCTCATCTCCATTTCTAAGCCGAAGAGCCGGCATTGTCCGTAGACACCTTAAAGGTCATGTGGCCAGCATGACTGCATGGCGTGCCATTACCTTCCAACAGAGCAGTACCTATTGATCTACTCACATTTGCATGTTTTCAAACTGCTAGATTGGCAGAAGCTGGAACTAACAGTGGGAGCTCACCTCGCTCCCCGGCTTTGAACTGGCAACCTTTTGGTCAGCATGTTCAGCAGCTCAGCGGTTTAACCCACTGCGCCACCGGGGGCTCTGCAGATAACACTATGTAAAAAAAATGAACATTTTTTCTGTTCCTGGTTTGCAAGCATTATTTCCTGTTTAATTGTGTGATACTTACTTTGAAAGTAGTTGTTCTACTCCAGAAACTTTATTTTTGTGGCTGTCTCTAACTATGTTGAATTGAAATATTCATTCAAAACTATAGCAAAATGTGCTGCAGGATGGTCCAGCAAAAAAAATATGCAGTTTTTTTAGGAACATGGAAATGACATTTATAACCCAGGAACAAAAACTGTGTTACATAGCATAATTAACAGAAATTGAGGTGATCAAAACTACAGTTACTTCTCAAGCAGTCAAACAGTAGATGAGAAATATGCAGTGAATTGCATAGCCTCCAATGAATCTATACTTTTTTATTAATTCCCAACAAATCAAGACAGCAAAATTAAGTCATAAGAATACACAGAGGCAATCCTAAAGCTGATGTAAATGCTGTTAAAAATAAGATTAAGACTCTCTACACCACTATATAGCACAGTTTGAAACTCAGATTCATATAATGCATTTGACCTGTACTATATGAGCCTGCACTGGCTATATAATGCAGTTTCAAACTCCATTATACGGCAGTGTAGATGTGGTCTTAATTGTGTTTTTAATGCCACATCATTTAAACTGTATCACGGGGAGAGCAGCAATAGTCTGGAAATTTAATTCTGTTCCAGTGGACGTAATTAGGTTACATTCAGGTAATTGGAGTGCCGAACAGGCAAGGGAAATGAAATGTCCGCTTTACTCGAGCATAATATACTAGTTTGCACATAAATCAACACACAAGTTTCGACCTAATTTGCAGGTCCTTGGCTTCTTATCAAGAATCCTTGACTTCCATTCCCTATTACATAATTCACCCAAGCAGTTTTCCCACTAAAGTACATGTAGGCCTTTCTTTGAGAAACTCACAATTGTCTGCTTACTGGTACAATATTCTGTCTGAATCATATGAAAGGATTGCCGACATGTACATTTATTATGTATTAACTACATTTCTACAGTATACAGCTTTTCTCACCCATGCTGGGGGGGGACGGGGGACTCAAAGTGGTTTACAACACAATAAATGGGAAATTCAGTGCCTCACATATATATAAAAATATCACATATCTAAATCAATAACATATAACTGTAGAATAAAATCATTAAAACTATAAAATATCAAACATAGACATAAGCATGAAGCATCTTATTGCTGCAATTAACATGCATCAGATATCTTGTGGTTGCTTTAATGCAAACATTGTTGAGGTTATGAATGTCTACACTTGTGAAAACAAATTCTGTTTTGTACCACATTTTTCCGATTCACAGCAATCCCATTAACACCTGCCGCACCCTTGACGAAATCACTACATCTCCAATTGTTCACATGCTTTGCTCCCTCTTTGCCCTATCATCCATGCATATAGACATTTTTTTCTTCTAAGCAGGAGGGTGCTGATATGGATATATAGGCAGTCCCCAAGTTATGAACAAGATAGGTTCTGTAGGTTTTTTCTTTAAGTTGAATTTGATGTAAGTCAGAACAAGTACACTTTAAAGTATAAATATAACCTTTGGATTGCATAGGGAAGGCTTAACAGCTCCGCGGTGTTTGTTTTGCTGTCTGTGCCGTATTTCTGTCCCTATAATCATTAGATTATGAAAAAATGACTTGCACATAGAAACAAAGATTGGCGATAAAGCTTCAGCTGAGACACCTTTTCCCTATGATAATTCTTCCAGGAGTGAATTTCCCTTCCTAGTAGATTTCTCTCACTTTCTGTTGTCTCTGCTCCATTCTTAACTATGAATTGTTTGTAAGTTTCATGCTTGTAACCCGGGGACTGCCTGTGTACACACATACCTTCATTTAAAAAATGACCAAACGTGCCAGAAAACTTAAAATTCACACCAGGAAAGCACCACTCCTTGTCAGGAATAATCAGCCTGAATATTATTAAATAAGTCTACCGCCTGGCACAGCACACCTCCCCAAAACCTTGTTCCACACACCAGTTACGGTAATTCCTCTCCCCATCCCCACAGTGATATGATGCCACCTCCAAGGGTGGCCCACAAGCCAAAAACCTCTGGATTTTAATGAAAACTAACGGGGAAAGCAAGTCATTTTGAAATTACTTGAAGCCCAAAGAACCACATTGCAAGTGAATTAACAAAAACGTCATGTTTTCAGATAGCAGTGGCTACAAGCTGAGTATGATTCTTTGAGGCATTGTAAACAATCCCCAGGTTTCCTCTCCTGAATTTGGGCGAAAAATACTGTGGAAGCATATTACAAGGACTGGGCCTAGAAATCCGACTGCAGTGCAGAGGTTTATTAGAAATCCTGACATCTCCTATCTATATTTGTTTTTCAGTTCCTAATAGGCATGCATTTAATAAGAAGGAATTCGGTGGCGATCCTAACCTTTTTGAGCCAGCATAATTTGAGGACTTGCCCATTTTGAAAGGTCATCCTTTTCAAATCTCTTTAAAGCGAAATGTAACATGCTCTTTCCAAGAGGTAGTTCTTTTGGAATGTTGTTTAAAAGTCTTGGCTTTACATGTTGGAACTGTACTACAAAAGCATCATGCTGTGACAACTGTCTGGAAAAATTAGTGAAGCTGTAACTTATGATGCTATTCATTCAAGCGTTTCCTTCATCTGCACTGGAATTTTGCCACTCATTGTTTGAAGACCATTTGTGTCTGATGTGATAAGTGACAACTTATTTCAGTTTCTGAAACACAAAGTTTTCTTTAAAAAAAATACGAAAGCCAACACATAGTGAGACAAAGCGCCGAAAGAAAAGAGTGCTGTGTATGGACATCTTGTCAAGCAGATTTGTTTTTCTTTTCGTTGTTGATTCATTAGTTGTTGAGTTGTGGCTGAGATGTCATGGACTCCACAGGCATGGTAATAGAAAACAAGAGAAGTATTAATTGTTGTGCGTCTCATATATCAGTTAACACCCATCATATACAAAAATACACCAATCACTCAGAGTCAACTCAATTACCATGCCACTGTTCTTGGGACTGAGACTGGTTGAAGGAAGATGAACCTCTAGCTGGCCTCTAGTGCCCTTCTTTGTCTGGCAATGGTTCAATCGAGATGGAAATTGCATTATTAGCAAAATCGATGCTCAATGTGCAAAACTTAAGATTCAATTTCTACAACAGTGAAATATGTAAAAATAAAGGTTTTGGGGGGAGGCCTCATGGAGGTTTTGTCTACTTCTTAGTGTTTTCTCTTAAACATTTTCTGTCAAATGTTATAGAAATATTAGAGAAATATTAGAGAAATATAACATTATTGAAATGATATATATTTATTATCTGTTTTATATATATATATATATATATATATATATATATATATTATTGTATGCTATATTATTTGTTTGCCTTTGTTAT